GCAAGAAACTTTTGGATACATAACACAGGACCACTTGGGTGTTTAGCTCAGGTTGTGTCACTATTTGGGAGAGACAAATCAAAACTTGATGGGTTTGGTTGTGTTAGTAACCAAGCTGCTAAGCTCTTTCAATTTACAACTTCATGGTCTTTTAAAAAAAACTCCCTCAACAATATCCTAATTCTCGTTTCACATATGTAGATATTTTCGCGATCAAATCCGACCTCATCCTCAATCATTCCAAGTATGGATTTTTTTTTTGGTCGAAAAAAGTATACAATGTACAATGTAGCTACTACTAGCTGTGATTGAAAAACTTAAATTTTTGTTGTATGAAATATAGGTTTCGATCATTCGATAATGGTATGTTGTGGAACCGGAGGACCAAAAGGCTTTTGTTGTTCAAGTGTAAAACAGATTCAAATTTCATGTAATGTTTGTGTGATATAAGCAAGATGTGTATCTATAGACCACACACATAGGTTTGTGCAAACCAATAGCTACAAACTAAGAAACCAGAAAGCTTCATTAGTAAATGGTACAAATTTTCTGAATTATGTAGTTAAAATGTTTCTTCCTTTCCATGTATACTTTTGTTCTGTAAAATTATCAGTAGTAGCATTGTCAATTGCATAGCTCCTGCACATTGTTATCTTCTGAACTCGTTAGCAGTTTTACTTTTTGTTCTTCTTCTTTAATGGCCTAGGTCTCGCATTTTTATCTAAATCTGTCAAATGATCGACGAAATCACTAAAGCACCACTTACAATCTTCTTTCCACTCTCCTATATGTGCGTTAACCCGCCATTTCTGATCTGAAATCATCTCTGGTGACAATCCCCATTTCTCTAACTCTTTGTCTGTACGATGAATGGCCAAGCTGTAATCACCGCCTGGTCCTAATTCTATAGCTCATGCGTAGGGTTGATGTCCAATCTACTCATGTTGTTCATGAGAAAACCCGTAAAGCAAAACGCATAAAACCAAAATCGAGAGTCTTTACTTGTTGTTCATTCACACAGAGATTCAAAGTCAACACTGTGATCAGGACCTAAATTAAGGTATCAAAGCAACAAATTTAACTCGATCTAAAAGACCATGAAATCACATAAAAATCCAATCCTCTTAACAAAAATGCATTTGTTTCGTGGTCATTGGTCTGATACTCAACCAAAACAAAATTCCTCAACTTTCTAGCTATCATCATACATAATGATGTGAATGTAATCATCTCAGATCAGTCCTCGAGAGAGATTTCTTCTGACACTAACATCACCACATCAATATATACATAAACAATCAACAGTGTGTGCAAAGCGGAAAAACGTAGTTGAGACTCTGTCGAATACATCGGCGGTGGATTCTACCTCCGGGAATATATTGTTGTGCATATATACATCATAAGAAGATGAACATTATTAATTTTCAAAATGGTAAATAGTGTAACATGCTTCATCAATAAACTAGAGGTGAAATATAAGATAAATAGTATATTAAAATAAAGACAAGAGAGGAGGAGATAAATAAATCATGTTCGTCTTGTCCTTTTTGCCTCCTCCTCCTCGTGGCTCTGTTGACATGGACGTATTTCAAACTTGCCGACGTTATGTATTTTCTTCACCGACGTTAATTGCCGTAATTTTTCTAGTGTTTGT